ACCCTCTAAACCGCTTAGTCTTCTCCTAAAACCTTTGCCCTCTGGTCTTACACACATCTACCATGGGGACAGAATTCTCATGATCTATACCTTCTATGCCTTCCTTTCATAATCTTGTATACTTCAATCAGACTCCCCTGCTATTCCCCATACTCCCCTCCCCCACACCACTCCAAGAAAAGCAAACCCAGCCTGTACAGTCTCTCCTTATAACTGAGATATTTCATCCCAGGCAACAATTTAGTTACTCTCCACCCCTTCTCCAATGCAATCTGTTCCTTCTGTCCTATGACAACCAGAACTTCACACAGTATTCCATCTGTGATCTAAACAATACTCTATAAATTTGCAACAAGACTTCCTGCTCCAATATTCCACATCTCAGCTAATGAAGGCAAGCATCTTGTAGGCCTTCACCACCTTAACTACCTGACATCTTGGACTTGTACAGCAGGATCCCTTTGTTCCTCAGTCCTCCTAGGGATCTACCATTTATTATATAAATCCTTCCCTTGTTAGACCTCCTCAAATGCATCACTTCACATGGTAGAACTTACTAGGAATGCTGTTAAAGAAGCTTTAGGAGTTGACAATTATTGTTCATACTTTGTCAATCATTAACAAATTACTTTTACACTGAAGTGGAAAATGCAATTACTAAAAGATTGGAACTTGGGCACCTTCTTAAGGTCGCTTATCCGTGCTTGATCCGGTTTTTTTGGATGTTCATTAGACTCTAGGCTGCTCTTGAATCCATGAAACCTGAATCCTTCAAAAGTTAGCCAAGCCGACTTTGATCGTTCTTTTGCATTCTTTTTCTCAGTTTCTGGATCCACAGGAGCCACTGATGCTGACAAAAAATCTTGATTGTATGTAAAGTAGCTGTTTGGCTTCTAAGGGAGAAAAGAGATTTACAACTGGAACTTAAAAAATTTATTGCAAGACATTTAAAAACTTTTTTCAGACACATCTGTATATGTTCATAAATAAACATGTTTGACTCATATAACTGTTATACATACACAACGGACATAAAACATTGGTGCATGCCTGTCCTTGTAATAAGGTTATAGGGTGATTTTTTTCATCTTGATTGAATAATGGACAGCTGGTGGGCAGGCTGACCATTCCACATACCTATTTGTTCCCATGTTTAAGGATGCTAACTTGCATTGCTGTGTAGTTTTAATCCTTGATTATAAATTCCTTCATTGCCACAAATACTAATTTATTGAAATTATTAATTAATTTACAAATGAGAAAATTACCAGGGTGTAACTTGTGTCAAATAAGTTGATTGCCCACCTTAGCTATTTCTTGATGCAGCAGTTTCTTTGCCTGCTGAGCAGAGTTCAAGGCCTGACTGGAGTAAATGTGCACTGCTTTGCCGTCGGGATAAACTGCTGTGATTGTTCTTAGCTTGGTTTTCTTCAGCGTTTTGTCAGCCTGAGAAACTGCATCAATGTTAGCCTACAACATTAGAATATTTTGTGCCAAAATTATTTTTTTTGCATTTGAACAGGGGTTAATGCTTACACTTGAAACTACTTTACCTTCCTATGCAAAACCTATGCCTCATCTGAGACTGAGTGACTTGTAGTGTTTGAAATCTGAGGCTTCTGCAGCCTGAAATCATAGAAGTGCATCTGCTTTCATTAAATAACAGATAGTTGCAGTCAGTGAAAGAGCCCCCTTGAAATTTAGGATTGTGCTTGATGCTAACTTCCTGTGCCATCCAAAACGTTTCCTGTTTAGGTGGTAGCAAAGTGTGTAATTTGGTATTACCTTTTTTTTTGTAACTTGACTGAATTATCACAGTTAACAGATTCACTTTTTAACAGTAAGGCCTGGCTTCGGTTTCCATTTATCACATCCGTGTTTAACTTTCCAGCATATTATTCACAATTTAACAGTGGAAACTTGGGCCTTTGCAACTCGATCATGATAATAGATAGAATCATCAAAAACGGGAGCAGGATTAGGCCATTTGGCCTTCAGGTCTGCTTCCCCCACTCAATGATTGTGGCCAATCATCCAACTCAATAGCCTGGTCCTGCTTTTCCCTCCATAACTCAGTTCCCTTGTCCCCAAGTATTACAGCAAACTCAAACTTGAAATTATACAATGTTTTGGCCTTAACTGCTTTCTGTGCTGTCAAATGCCACAGACGCACCATGTTCTACATTTAAAATAAGAGTACAACATAAGAAACAGGAGCAGGAGTAAATCTTTCAGCCTGCTGCAGCATTCAATGTGATCATGGCTGATCAACAGCTTTCAGTCTGCTTTCCTGCCCACTCCCCATATCACCTGATTTCTTAGATACTACATCTAGCTCAGTGTTAAAGCCATTCAACAACGGCGTATCTGCAATTGCTTGTTGTAGATCATTCCTAATATTCACAACCCCATAAGACATGAATGTTGCATTAGACATTTCACCTAGATTTAACCACAGGTATAATATTGGCCAGTATGGCAATGGCAGAAGGAGTTTTCTGTTTGCCTTCATGCAAATTTAAATTTTTGCCTGATACCTGAACATGATCTGGGAAGATTTGATTACTTTTCTTCTGTAAATATTTTTCATTGTAAATGTCCAGTAGAGAATAGGATTCCCGTTTTGTGGGTTTAAGTTTGGAAACAGGTTCAATTTTGATGGATGGCACAGTCTTGGTAGTAAGTGGACCTGTTTCAGATGCTGGGATTCCAAACTCACGACTCAGGATCTTTATCATTTCTGCAGCTGGGAAAAGGTCACCTTGCACAACCTGTCTCAGCTTTTTGGCACAGCACATGTATTGAAGTCTGAGAAACAAAGAAAGTCTAAATTATAAATTAGCTCGTGCAGCTAGTATATTATGCAAAGAAACCCACCAGAGTCTGCCTTCTTTATGGAATCATCAATATGCTCTGCTGCTGTCTTGAATGTAAGATGGCACTCTAAGTTTAAAAGTTTAAATATTGCTGTTCATAGCTTAAGAAACAACTAAATGGTGCATCATAAATTTTTACACCTTTGAATTATGTGTATTACCCTACATAGCTGGATAACAGGACACTAAGAGAAATTTGCTGACCTTTTTTAACATAATTTAATCTCTGTTGACAGTCGCATGGTTCTGTCTTTACGCCACTTTTCACTCCATAAAAAGACTCCACATTTAGCTGCATTTCAGTAAGAGGTTCAATGATGTCACACAAATCGTCAAGGCTTGTGAATGCATCTTCACATCAACTGATCCACTAGTCTCATGCACTGTTCAATTCACCATTGATTTAGCCACCACCAACCTCTAGGAGTTATGATCATAGTATGATGATAGAGTTTGAAAGAAGTATAGTGATGCTGACCTTGCTGCTGACACCCATGTCCCACAAATGAATTTTTAAAAAGTTAACTTTGAGACCAACATACTTAAATCTGAAGCAAGAGTCAAATGAAGTCAAATATAGAGATATGTGGGATGAGTTGACTAAGATTAATTGGGGAAACTAGATCAAAGGGTACACAGGGAGATGAGCAATGGCAAACATTTAAAGAAACAATGTAATATTCTCAATGAAAATACATTCTGTTGAGAGATAAAAACTCCACAGGAAAAGGACACTTTATGTGGCCGAATGAATAAGTACAATAGCATCAAATAGGGTGAGTTTTAGAAACCAGAAAAGCATGATCAAAAAGTTGATAGAAAAGAATGAGACTAAGTGCAACAGCAAATTGTAAGAGCTTCTATGAGTAAGTAAAATGAAATAAAGTAACAAAAGTATATTGGTCTATTAGAGGCTCAAATGATAGAAATCGCAAGTGGCAGAGGTATTAAACACAAAGTTTGCATCTGGCTTAACAGTCAAATACATAAAATCCATACCAAAGCTATTGGATAAACCTTAAGAACTTATAGTAATTAATATCTGTAGAGGAAAAGTACTGGAAAAATTAATGGCAAATTCCCCTGGATTTGATGGTCTGTATCAGTGGCAACAGAAAATGATATAGACTCAGCTCTGCTTGCATTAGAGCTTATTAAAATGTCTCTTGTTCTAGCCCAAAAAGAGGTACATGTGGAGAAATGCATGGCCACAACAGCCTTCATATCTAGTGGCTGTGCTACACTTGCATATTCTGGCTGCAAGTATGCCTGAACATATTGCTTAGCACATATTCATAGACAGGATAATTTTCTACATAAGCAAAATGAATTTGTCCTAAATTGCACCTTTTTCAATTGAAGAAAGCATTATGGATGTTGCCAATCACTGCTGTATTCCTCATGTCAATGCCCTGAACAGTCACAGCCTGCCTTCCTGGTCAGAGTTTAATCAGCAAACTAAGATTGACAGTTAACATTTCCTGTTGCATCTCCAAACCTACCATAGTCCAATCATCATCCTCTTTGCATTCAAAATAAACTGTTGTTCCCTTTCTAAGTTTCATTTCTTTGGTATTAGTCCTGATGAGTGCAAAAGGGAAAGCTTGTGTCTCCTTTTAGCAACGATCAAGTTCCATACTACCAAGCAATTACTTTCTACTCCATTCAATTAGTGTGTAAATTAATAATTAACACAGTTGTTTATGATGTGCTGGGTTAACGATCCCAAATTACTGAATTTGGACTACGTTTGTGCCTGTTATTTAGCTACATAAGGTATTACTCAAGACACATTTAACATTGGTCTTGTCTCCATAGTGCATGCATGCTGTAGGCTACTTACATTTGTGCATTTAAATGAGTTTGTGTTTAAGCAGTAGGTGGCTGGGGGAGGAGTGTGCTGGTGTGAATGGCACAGGGTTAGGGGGTGTGGTTGTGAACAGTGGGGAGAGGGCCATGAACTGGGAGACGAGAAGAAGGGGAGGCCACAAATTCTCTCACCTGCATCCTCATTCTTCTTACTGCTTCCCCCAAGTTAGTAGATAAGATGCCTGAAGCCATTCTTGCACATGGGAACACTATCATCTGCAAGTTCCCCTTCAAGTCACATACTGTCCTGACTTGGAAATATATCATCGCTCCTTCACTGTCACTCAGTCAAAATCCTGCAACAACATCCCTAACAGTTCACTACCATCATCTCAAGGGCGATCAGGGATGGACAATAAATGTTGGCCCAGTCAACAACTCCCATATCATGTGAATGCATAAAACAAAATTTCCCAGTTGGATGAAGTAGTAATACCAATATTCCAAGAACTTAATATGTCTAATTTCACTTGCATAGTAACAGTTATATTGCACAGAGACATTAAGAGTATGCAAAAATGAAGACCTTGTTCTTTTTCTTTTTTTTTTACACCCAGAAGTGCTATCACACACAGCTGAGCGACTTCCCAAAAATGAACTCCTTACGAAAGAAAGAAAACTATAAAATGTTGATGATCTCATTCAGATTACTTATTAAATGCAGCTTTTCAATTATTGGAATCGTCAAAGCAAGATCTCACCTACACAATGCCTGAAAACAGTCCTGGGGAGTCATATCCCTAATATACAGTAAAGGCTGCTTTATAATATCATGCATCGGCTCACGGAGATGAATATGATAAACATTATCGTCCATGCATGCGTACAACCTCTGATGAAAACTGAAGTTACTATTGTACAACACTTTAATCCTTTCTTCTTCAGGAGCCACAGATCTGAAAATATATAAATACAAAAAGAAAGATTATTTTACATGAATGGATTCCCATGTACAGGGGCCTGCAGAAGTGATTTGATTTGTTCCTTCCAAAACCATCATAGTGGAAATTTCAATGGCAAACTTAATCACTGCCATAATGTTTTGTAAATGAGAAATGTATGTGGATGTCAGATTTATATTAACATATAATTTTAGATAAATAAGTATATCTGGCACTTAATGGTCTTACCTGATTACTATTCACTACCAATAGTCTTGTACTGTGGAATAACTTTCTCTGACCTGGTCAACACAAATCTTTCATCATTTATAATCTGTGAACATGTAATCTGTTATTTAAAAAAACGTGACATTGATCCTGACAAAATGTGCTTATAATCGGTTGACATCCTGCTTCATATAGAGTCCCATTTTCATTTCCACTAAGAAATAAACTTGTTGGACTTTAACCTGGTGTCGTGTGATTTCTGACTTTATCCACCCCGACACCTCCGTTTCAGTTCCAGTAAGCATGGTATACGAAAGGCTGTTATTCACTGTGAATGTGTCTCCAACTACTGGAAATTAATCTTATCCAAAAAATAATTTAAACATACTAAAGACTTTGTAAAATTGCAACTTTTTCATTGAATTCTCTCGTATTTATTGCTACTTTGATCACTTTTGAAGAGTTGTCCACAAATGTCATTTTCTGGGTACCATTGCTTTAATATAGATCATATATTTCCCCACTCTGGAACAGCAGTAAACTCAATTTACTTAATGAAAAGATAGATTGCAGACATCTGAGAACATGGAGATCTCTCATAATACAGAGGATGTAGTAAAATATCTTCTTCCTCTCATCAACAGCAACCAATCCTATTATACTATAATCCAAATGTTAAGGAGTTTGTTAGCCCCTCCTTATCCTATTTTGGTGATCATTAAGAATGGCAGATTTTCATTCCACAGAAAACCATAAAGCAAAATGTCATATTAGCTATTCGTTATCCATTGACAAATACCATGGAAAGTTTGGAATGCTTCTTGAAACAAAACATGTCTGGGCTCCTGCTGGCTTAGTTACTCTGCTTGGTGCCACTATGGCATTCTACCATTTTTTGAAAAGCTATTTTAAGATGCATTGGTCTTTCACCCTTTGTCTCTTTCTTCATTTAATTATCCCATCAGCAGCTGTTTTTTTGCTGTCTGGACATATAGTTTAAGCAGGCATGTTTAGTTACTTTGTCTTTGTAAAATATAATTTTGTTGCCCCAGAACATCTCACCTGACTGGCAGGTTTTTCCACAATTTCCTGAGCCCTTCATTTCTCAGTCCCTCCAAAACGAAGAGATGTATTTTTCCATCCATTACATGAAAACCTGTCAAAATATCCTGTTTGGAGCTCTCTTTTAGTTCAGACTCCATTTTAAATGCTACATCAGCTGCTTCACTTCCATCATTTGAGAAAGAATCTGGGCAAATTGCTGCAGAATTAACTGAATTAATTGTTTCCAGCAATACACTAAGAAATTTTGTGTTTTTATAGTCAAAAATGTAAATAATGCGACCAAATTGGCACTCCTCTGTTTCAAGTGGCACATCTGTGGTTCCCATTAAAGGATAAGCTAATTCAACCCTTACATTAAGAACAGAGTTTGATTCCACATAATGCCCTTTAGGTAATGGGCATTCATCTGAAACATCAACAGCTCCTGAAACACCTATAATACGTCCATCCAATCCATCTGTTTTGTAACCAGTTGGATCTGGTGTACTACTGTTTTGTATAGATACAGCAATATTCAAGCACTTTTCACCATATAGAAGGTCAGAAAAGGCCACCTTAGCAATGCCATAAGGATCCCAACGTTTACTTGCAGTTGTGAAAGGATCGTGGACAGTTCGCTTACTGCTAGCAAGACTGACATTGCTCAGTTTAGTATCTTCCGCCTCAGTACCAAACAATGCTGGTAGTAGAGGCTGGAACTGCAACTTCCTGTCACGGTCATGAATTTCTATCTCTAGTGGAGGTCCAAGTAAATACTCTTTGAGTTTATCTGGATTGAAGGTCCCTGTTAGAATCACATTCACATCCTTAAAGGAAATCTCTGTCCCATGCCCTCTGGCTTTCGTCTGATGACGGGGCATATCATAGAATCGATACTGACAGTACACAGGGCCGCATTTTTCCTTGGAAAAGAAACAGAGAATTAGGAAATATTAGAGATTGTATTTCGCATTGTATTGTTAGATTCAAGTCTTTAGAAGATACATGTAGATGCTGGTGTAAAATCACAAGTAAACAACTATAGCTAAAGAGATTTTTAAAAATACCTACAATGCTAGAATAAAGAAATCCTTAGAATATTACATATATTGTTCTGAATGTGTAATTATTTGTACTGAATCAGTCTTACTATTTCCTTTGCTTTTGTTAATTTGGGAAAATTTAGTGTATAAACTTACCTTCAAGTACAATGTAATGGGTTGCAAGTTCATAAGGGTTTTGAATAACTAGTATTCTGCCTGTTTACAAAAATCCAAAACACCAAATTAAAATTTCAAATTCTTAGCAATCTTCACTTTTTGTAAGTCAACCTATGATTATTCCATTGGCATAAATAGAAATTGCAAGTAATTGACCTTTCTGCCTTCTCTTCACACAATGACCTCTTTACTTCTTAAATAGACGAATTCTGTAATCTGATTCATAGTGTCACATTAGCCAGCACCACTCTCTGGGAGAAGTTTCCATTCTGTCAGGCTATAATTTTAAACTTTGACACTGTGTAAAAATCTTTGGAGTTACATTACCACAAGCTTATCATCTGACTTATTCTAAGTGCAGGAAACAAATATAAAATAAGAATGAAATTAGCCTTCCCCATTCTTGCAATCTATAGGGTAGCATTTAAGAATCAATGTTGAAATGAACAATCCAAGGGTGCATGATTAATATTGTTGAAGAAAGTCGCTCTAAAATGCCTAATAGTGTACATTTTCCAGTATTGCTGCCAGTGAGGCAGGAGTCCAACAGATTTCCTGGTCTCCTAGCAACTAAGATCAATAGAGCTAGATTTGCATGATTTTAGTAGAAAGTTAAATGGTCTGGCAGGTTGTTTAAAAAGGCCGTAACTAATCCTGCTAAATTTAATGTTTTAACAATAAAGTCTGGTATAGTTTTTCATCTGTTTAGGAGAACATTGTGCTGGGCATTCCCTTGATCTCTCTGCAGTGGGCCTAAGGGAATCCCAGGTGGTAAAGCTCTTAAATGGTCCAAGGCCTATTATTTGTATATCCCATACTGTTGCAATAAATTTAGTACAGACTGCTACTGTTGCCATTTAATGGAAACTTTATCAAACTTTTTTGTTTTGTTTCCCTTCTTTTAAAATTTCGCTGCTAATAGCTGACAGAGTATCTATTGCCAAAAGTGGAGATTTTACAGTGAACTAACATTTTCAATACAAGGATCAATTCCTAGGCTGCTGTAAGAATGTCCACATCAACACATGCTCCAGGACAAATCACAGCCATATATTTTGGACCTAAGAAGCAGTTCATTGGACAGCAAATTTTTATCTCTTTTCTCTGAAGCTTTCAATTTCCTTTTTCTCTATAAGCAAGGAGTGGCTATGAAGTCAAAATTGTAAATCAAAGTATTGCAGCTTCATATTCAGTATATGGTAATATGACACACAGGAGATAAGGTTTTACTGTACTGGGAACTATTTTTTCCCTCCAATGTTGAAGCAGGATTTTCAATACTTTGCACTGTGACATGTTCTGTTTGAACACATGATGGTTATGCAATCTTTGGATCAAGCCAGATGTACAGGACAGGAACTTTCCCCCTCTAGTGGGGAACAGGTAGAAAGGACCTGGGACAAGGTTCAGGCCAGATAGATACCTGCCACTTTCTCGCTACCTCTGTAATCTCAGCAAGGCCCATGAGTGATCTTCCCAAACTGCCACCAATCAAAGTCCATAAGTTATCACTAACAACCACTAAGGGTCGCATTCCCACCGCCATGCTGATTCCCTGCCTTCCCAGCTGGTGAGAAAAGTGGCCGACTTCCTGGGGGAGAAACCAGGGCAGCCTGCGCTGTGGCAGGGGGTGACCCTGATTTGCCTCAATCTGAGGAGAATTGGGGCACAGTTTGGGTTTGGGGGGTGTTGTTGCTGAAATCTATTCTCTGTCCTTGCCTGCAAAGCCCCCGAACCCCTTCCCTGTGACACCCCCTTCCTCACTATCCCCTGCTGAAAAAAAGCTTAGCTTCTCCTTAGTGTTGGTAAAGATGGCCTCCAACAACTCTCTCTAGCTCACAGTGGCTGTCAGCTTCAGGTAGGATGAGGATTTCCCTGGTTCAGGCACTCAATAGACTGAAATGCTGGCATGTTAGTATTATAGTGGCTGATTGGTGCATGATCTGACAGGCTTTCTCACTGTTGGGGATGTAGGGGGGTTAAAGATACCCACTCACACAATTAGTGCAAAAGAAACTCCCACCAATAACGCTTTTAAATGACTTCTTGTTCGAGGGTGGCAACCTCCCTGCACTGCTATTAATTCTCATCATGCTTTCAGTATTGAATGCTGGCTCTTGTTGTGTGGAATTATCACCCTTTATTGGAATAGCAGATTAACGGGCCTGCACTTTCCTAGCTCTTTGCTTTCCTGAAGGTTATGCCTATTTATATTCCTTGGTGCAGTAACTGTGATCCTAAAAAGCAAAATGACATTCCGTTTCCAAATACAATCTTGTCAATATATGGAGCATAAACCTAAATGTGATGAATACATGCTTATATCAAATATTATTTTTTAACTCATTAATTCAACTATGCATTTTAAAAGACAGTTTTTTGTTGAATCCAAATCCAGTCTAATTAACATCCCTGCAACTCCTGCATTGACCCTATTGAGAGGAGATGGCAAGTTTGTGAAACTCACCAAAGATGATGGCTCTCCTGGGGATTGTAAGTGACCTTCCTAAATTATCTATAATATTTCCACGGAGGAACCTACAGTATTCAATTGTTAACAATAAAACACTTGATTGCTTTTGCCAACAGATATCGCTAAGACTGGATTTAATCAATAATAACTGGAATATGGAATAGTTCTTTAAATTACTGGCAGCTGGAGAAAGAGAGAGAGAGAGAGAGAGAGAGCGATCATGTGCTGAGCCAACACCTTTTGTGCATCTAAGCATGTGTTTTATCAAAGAGAAGAAATAGCAGTTGAGGGGAGTTGAGTATCTACATTCTGCAGTACATAGAGACTTTTAATGAAAGATTTCAATTTCACAGCATCAGCTCCAGAGAAGAAAATACCAGCTAAAGCTTCAAACTGCCTCAGCCTGGAAAGAACTTTAGATCCTACCTGCTGATGAAGAAAGAAGCAAACTATAAACTGTTTCTCTTTTATCTTCTTACAAACTCTTATTTAGCCAAAGAGTGCATGGTTGCATGTAAGTAGGATCGTTATTTTTATATTTTTACCCTGGTCACTTAGACTAATGAAGCATTTTTTGTAAAACTGAAGAAAATATGTCTGACCAGTCCTTTATGATCACAGCACATAACCAGTTAAGTATGCAACAAATTGACGAGGATAGTTTTATGCAAAACAAAAAAAGAAATTGTGGTCAAACAGAGAGAAACAAAAATGGGAGCCCTTCAACCCTTCCTTAAATGATCATAACATTTTTAAAAAATTAATATTATTTAAGAATACTCATGCCCTTTGAAAACGAACTTTTTTATTCCTTTCTCAAGAATGACTTCTAGAAATTTATATGGGTTCAAACATGAGACTTTCTCATACTGCAGCACCTCCAGGTGTATGAAGCTGCACTGTTAATTCTCTCATGTTTATTTAGGGAAAAATCCTCCTCCTCACACTGCTGCCCATACCCAATGGCTTGGAAACTTCTTTAAGACAAATTTTCAAGATCTGCCAAAGAGAAATGCAGACACAATTGTTTGTCAGTCACCATGGGCTGAATTTTCCCTTTTTTTTTATAGCAAGCGTTTGTCAACAGAGATTCATGGCAGATGGTCCACCATGGCCCATTATCAACTTTTCTTACTTCATTCTTTGCTGTTCGGCTTGTTAATTATGTAAGTGACCTTTTCAAGGGGCATCTTGTGGAATCACACAGTAGCAGAGCCAAAAGTGCTCTCCTGCTGAGATAACAAGGTGTAGAGCTGGATGAACACAGCAGGCCAAGCAGCATTCAGAAAATTTCTGAAGAAGAGTCTAGGCCCGAAACGTCAGCCTTCCTGCTCCTCTGATGCTGCTTGGCCTGCTGTGTTCATCCAGCTCTACACCTTGTTATCTCAGATTCTCCAGCATCTGCAGTTCCTACTATCTGAGTGCTCTCCTGCTACTGGGACATTGCACTGTTCACACTGCTGGCCCCATACTTTATCCCCAGCTCCACAACGCTTCAGGTGCTGAAAGCCAAGAAATGCCCTTCACACTCCATTACCCCGCCATTATTAGCAGAATGGCACCCTGCTTTGCTGATCATGGCCAGATGTGCTGGTTGATGGGTGGGTGGAAAGGAGAGCTATCAGTTTTCCTGCTGACCACCAAAGCTACCACACACTGCCAGTCTGGAGTGGCCTGTATCCGTTCAGGTGCCGGAGTGAAATGCAACACATGGCAGTGCAAGACAGCTGAATGATCTTGCGTGTCCCACATGGATAATTGCCAGCATTTCTTTTCTGATCACTCATACTCACAGCGCCACCACTCACTCAAACTCTGCCACTGCATATACCTCTCACCAAGGCTCATGAACCACAACTAGTTGGGTGCTACAAGGATCAGTAATGTGGGCCCCTACTGTTCACAATATATTTGGACGTGCAGGCCAAATGCAATACTTCCAAACGATACAAAGCTAAACAGGATTGTGTTATGAGGAAGATGTAAAACATTTCCAGCAGGATTTGGAGCGGCTCAGTGATTGAGCAAGAACATACAGATGGAATATGATATTGAAAAATATGAGATTATCCAATATGGTAGGAAGAACAGATGTGCAGAGCATTTCTTAAATAGTGAGAAGTCAGAAAGTATAGGTATGATTCGGGACCTGGATGCCCTTGTTAATATGTCTCTGAAGGATAACAATGAAAATGTTGGAGAAACTCAGCAGGTTTGGCAGCATCTGTAAAGAGAGAAACAGAGTTAATGTTTTGAGTCCAATATGATTTCTTCTAAACACATGC